CAAAGTTTCCGGAACTTATTCTTTGTATGATTTGTTTAAAAAGGAACCTACCTACATAATTATTACCTAGTTTTGATCACCTGACTCGTTTTAACTCATAAAAATAACCAGAAACAACTAGTTTAAAACTAGGGCTTAACTGTGATGTAAGGCCTTAAGAGAAGAGGGTAGGGCCCCGGGGGGTCTACCGGGTCGGGTGCGTCCCAAGTCGCGGCCACCAGGAGACACTGACCGCCAGAAAGCAAAGCGCTCTGACCCACTTCCGCATTGATCCCCTTTGCGTCCACGCCGCGCCGCTGGGGAGGGAGAGGGGGGAGGCTACGCACGCGGCGGTGCCCCCTCTGCCCTCGGCCGCCGCGTCCCTTCGACTGATTTGTTCCGTCAAAAGTCCGGATCCGTGCCGCGAGCCAGAAGCAGACCCTTCCGTCACGGCGGGCAGAGGGAGCGCCAACCCGGCGCCACAACCGCAGGAGGCGACTATAAGGCCTGCCCTGCAGGGCTGCAGGGTCGGGAGCACAACAGCCAGGCCGGGGCGGCGGTGGCGGCGTGCTTCTGCCGTTGACGGGAAAGTCTGCCGCCCCAAACTGCCAGCGCACTGTCATACAGTCAGCACAAATCCACCCCCCCCTTTTCCCTCCGCCTCGCAGACAACTCCATCCTTGCTGCGGAGCTCTCCACAAACGACCGGGCAGGAGAAGAAAGGAGGGGAGGGGAGGCCTCGAAGGACGGCGACGGCGCCAAGCAGCACACCATGGGGAAAATAGCATTGCGTTTGGCAAGGCCAAAAAAAGAGAAGACACCATCCGCCTCGTTCCTCCAACAAGGGAGTGGGGGTGGGGGAGAGGCCTCTAGTGGCCTCGCGCTCCGGCTCGTCGAGGCCCTAGCCGAGGCCTCAGCCGTCGCCCTAGCCGAGGTCCTGTCCCGTGTTGCTGTCGCCATCGATTGCAGAGGCCTGTTGAGCACTGCGGCCTGCAGGCCGAGAGAGCACCTCCGAGGCCGAGCCGACCGAGGCCCGCGCGAGGCCATCACCGCGCCGCCCCGCGGCATGGCCGAGGCCAGCGACCAACCGCTCGCGCGGGCAGGCCGAGGCCGCGGACCTCGCGTGCCAACCATGATAAAAACGCACGGCGAGCGTCCGACACACACAGTGCTGGAGGTGTTCGGCCCTGGCCCGGGGATCACCGAGCTGCCGAGCAGGGGGTGAGGGTGAAGTGAAGGGAGTGAAGGTCCCCATCAGAGAGGGAAAGTCTAAGCTTTGTTGGCGGCGCCGGGTCACCTCGGGTAACGGTCGGGCCGAGGGGTTCCACTCAAAAAAAGGTACTCTCCAAAAACAAATTCATGAAGTATATCAAGGGGAATCAAGAAAATACAGCAAAATCTGTGTGTACGCTTGTACGCTTCAATTTAGATAGCGAAGTACCCCACCCCCTCGGGTCGGACCACCAAGCTACCAAACAGAAACAAACAAGACAAGCGACACTGCCTCGCGCTCCAGGTCGTCGTCCTGGTCAAGTCCCAGATGAGGAGAATTGGAGTTGATGGTGAGGTGGGTTCACGACGACGGCCCTTCCCGTCCTGGCGGGGGCGCGCGCGGGGGGTCCGATACAACCACCTCGGCGCCCGTGTTGCGTAAATAATAGAACACTCCCAGTCGGCGCGGCCGTGCTCGGGCGGGTTTGGGTTGGGCTCGTGGGCGGACAGCCACACGGCGGGGCAAACGCGTCGCTGCTGGAGAGGTCCGCAGGAGCGGTGTGTAATACACTCAAGCGCACCCCAGCCCGCGTTACTTAAACATTGGCGCGCTCCACCGCCGCAGCACCCTCCGCAGGGCTGCTCTGCAGCCCCACACCACCCCGCCGTCGTGACGCGATGCGTCAAGTCGTCAAAAAGTGGCGGCGGGGCGGGGCAGCCTGACGTGGGGGAGTGACCTTGGGCGCCCGCCAGGCTCGGCCCGGCACCCGGCCACTGTGCTGCAGCGCGGTATACGCAAAGCAACCCCAACCCTCCCCCCGTGCGCCGTGCGCCGGGCAAAAGGCTCGTGGCGTGGCGAGGCGGGCAACTAAGTGGCCGAGGGACCACACGGTACCCAACCAGGCTAGGCCACGGGGGCGGCCGAGCGGCACGCGGCCGAGGGCCTTGCAATCTGAGGCCGTCTGAGGCATAGCAGGAGCAGCAGCCTTGGTTGTTGGGCCGGGTCGGGTAGGTGAGGTGGGGTTGAGGTCCTGCATGTATTCAAGGCTTGGGCGGGGCGGGGCGGGGTGGCCTGGGGCGTGGTGGGCGAGTAAACGGGGCGAGGTTGGCAAGAGAGCACCGCCGGGCCGCGGCCCCGCGCAACCCTTTCCTGCGCGCCCTGCTGCTGCTTCCCCAACTTGTGCCCTCTGACGTAAACGGAAATCGGGGGAATCGAGAGAGGGAGAGGTAGCAGCGGCAGCGGCCGTGACGGCGTCGGCGGGGAACAGCGGGCGGGGGGCATTCCTGGATCAGAGCGCGGCCCGGGCGGC